CGATGGTACTTTGGAGGGCATTACGTGCGTCGATCCAGATTACTGAGATTTCCGTGCTTCTCCGGTAGTGGTTTTCCGTCGCCGGCGTTGGTCTGGTTAGTTACTGATTGCGCTCGGTCGTTTTTACTTTTTACTTTTTAGTTTTTACTTGTATATCTAATTTTAATTTTAGATGTACAAGTAAGTCTATCTTATAAAAAAAATTAATAGATTATATTGTAATATGATGCCATTTTATAAAATGTTTGAATAGATTATTTGATTATCAAGCTTTCAATTTGGTACTATACATAACGATTTTTCAAAAGTTACGTGAATATTTTAGATTACAAAATATATCAAGGTCAAAACTAAAAATATTTGTTTTAAAAAAAATAATTGATAAAATGATAAAATCAACTTTGATGATGGTTATTGAGGGTTTTGAATTTATTTGTACGGTACAAGTTTTTTTTGCATGAGATTTCAATGTTTGATCTTAATATAACTTTTAGTTTTTGCATTTTCATATGCAATCTTTAAAATTTGATTTTCTTTTATTTTCTATTTAAAAATAAAATAATGCCTGATATTTACACCAAAATAATATAACTAATAATAGTTCAAAAGTTTGGTTTTCTCTCTTAAGATATTATATATTCATACAATTAGCAAAGTCGAGTACATGCTAACAAATGTAATATCATATTTTTAGTAACTTTTTATTCTATAATTTGTCTTTAATCTATGTTTATCAAATGAACATAAAGTCTCCACTACAACGAACCAATATACAAACCCTAGTTAAATTATAACGAACATCACGGATAATTGATTACAAAGTTATAATTATATTGTTTTTTAATTTGAAAATGATCATTATTTATATATCTTATTGTATGTTTAATGATTTGTTTAAGCGTTTTGTCATTATTACAAGTTAGAAGTGAGTGTTTGGCAATTTAACTTCTTAAAATAGGTTTTTTGCTACGACTAATAAAGAGTTTTCAAAAATCATTTTCATCTTACTTCTTGAAAATAACTTATGACTTCTCAAGATAAAATGAAAAAATGTCTTCATTTCTAACAAAATAAACATAATCCTCCATTTGTCAGTCATCGTCATAGTCTTCCATCAGTTTCAACCTCTTCATCTTTCGTCATAACAAATCCCATGGGTTTTTGTCCTTTTGGATATAGAAAGTGTTGGATAAGCTCACATGCAAGTTATTAAATGAGTCTCACATTCTAGATTGAAATATTTATTTCCATGATCAAACGTTATTAGAGTCTTTAGTTCCATCTCCATATATTTAATTAGGGAAGTTGAAGCACATACTTGTAACAAATGTTATAGTGATTTTATTGGGGTAAATTACACAGATGGTCCCTGTGGTTTAGGGTAATCTGCATGTTTGGTCCCTCATAATTTTTTTAACTCGTACCGTCCCTATTTTATATTTTTGTTACACGCTTGGTCCCTGTCCATTTTAAAAAGACTGATTTACCCTTACTGATATATTTTACCTTTTTTAAATCACTAATTAATTAAAAAAAATTAATTAATTGTAAAATATTGGATTTGGTTTGGATTTCACAAAACGTCATCTTCATCCCTTTGCCCTTATCTCAGTCCCAACTTCACACAACATCACTTCACACTCCACTGTGAAGTTCTTTAAGATTATCTCCACCGCCTCTCTACAATCGCTTCAGGGAAATGCAGGTTTAAAGCCTCTGCAATCGACGGACATAAGAAAGTGGTGTTAGTCTGACCCTCCTCTCTTCCCCTGCCTCCTTGTGTTCAGTCGTCGAAAAATCTCACCTTCTCTTCGGAAAATGTCGGACTCCACCGGAAAACACTAGATTCTACCATAAAACACCGTACGTCGTTGATCTGCAGTCTAAAGCCGCCGATTTGCAATACGACCATCCACACCACCTCTGGAAACCTTCACACAATGTCATCTTCAGAAATGCAGACAAATTGGTGATTGTGGTGGCTACAAGACGCAAGCAGGAAGAAGGTAGGGATCGTATGAGAGCTCGATTGATCAGGGGACAGCTAAGATTTTGATGGTTATCGATCGATTTTGAGGATGGGGTTGCATTTGAATCGACTTAAGAAGGATGAAAAGAAAAGGTAGATCGATCGAGAAGAAGAGGTGATATTGGACATTGTAGTTCTCCGTCGTCGCAGATAATAGCCTAGGGCTCCACATCATTGCTTAATCCTTGCATCCTCCCGTGATAATTCCATCACAGCCTCCTTCACCCTCTCGCCTAAAAACACCTAACCCTTTCTTCCTTATCATCTGGTAATCGATTCACAGATCCGACAACCTAAACAGAGATCAAAATAAACTCACTGGTGAGAAAAGAGAGGAACGAAAATAAGAAATTTCTTACCTCCTTTAATTCTCCTATCGTCTCCGGCAAAATATGTTGAGATCTGATTGTCGGTGGGATGGGTTCGCTCGTCGGAATGTTGCAGTGGTCATCGGAGAATGATGTAAAGGTTTGGGGAAAGGGGAACGTGAGAAAAAAGGGTGGGTGAAGATAAAACGTGGATTGGGGGTATTTTATTTCCTTTCATTTCTAAATTAAAAATGATGGACAAATAATAGAAAATCCAAAAAGAAGTTATTAAGGGTAAAATAGTCTTTTTATGTTTAATAGGGACCAAACGCGCAATAAAATTCTATCTTAGGACCGTCCGGGTTAAAAAAAGTTGTTAGGGACCAAATACGCAGATTACTCTAAACCATAGGGACCATCCGTGTAATTTACCCTTTTATTGGCGTTGAAAATGAAAACAATGATACCTTTAGTATTAGTGAAATGTGTAAGGATAATATTGTATAATTTAAGTAACATGTAAGAAATGGTCAAATGGATGCTTCTGACTTGGAAGGTAATGAATCAACAAATGTTGATCAAACACTCTAGAAAGTGTTTATAACTTATAACATTTTGTCGCTGCATAAACCATTCCAAACTTTTTAAAAATATATATAATTTTTGCTGTTCATAAGCTAAGAAAACATTTTTACCAAAAGGGGATTTTTTTTTTCAAACTCAATCTCAAACACCCCTAAATATTATTATATCAGCTTCTCATAATTGGATGAATAGAATGTAAAGTATAGACTATTCCATATATTTATGGGTTATAATCGTAACCGATATCAAAATGGTGTATGCTTCATCTTCGAACCGAGAAAGAATTAAAGTTATCTCGTTTCAGTTTAGTCAAAGTTAAATGAATATTAATAAACTAAGAATATTATAAAGACAAAATTGCAAAAATGGTCCCTGTAGTATTATTTTTTTGGGGTTTTAGTCCAAACCACAACTTTTTTGGATTGGTGGTCCTTTTGGACTAGTTTGTATGTGAAAATAGTTCCTCCGAAAATTGAAATGACTATAATACCCTTGGGGTATTTATTTTTCATTTTCCTTTCATTTCTTTTTAAATCTAATACTAATTTATTTATTTTAATAATTAATACAAGAAGGCCCTCTCTCTCTCTCTACATGATTTACCAGATGAAGAAATGGGGCATGTTCATCATCTTCTTTATGAATCACCCATCATCATCTCTCCCTCTCCACAACAACCTGCACCACTCCGTTTGCTTATCATATCAACCACCATCTACCCACCGCCACCACCATAGAAATTCAGTCTCACCATCATCACCTCCATCTATTATCAGAAGAAAATTTCACAAATCTCAATCATTCAAGAGTCACCGTCGAGATTAGTCTAACAGAAACAAGAATGAATCGACATCAGATATGGTAGAATCGATTTACAAATTGTAAAGTAAATTGTAATTGATAAAACAAATAACGTGATACCCATTCAACCATTTTCAGAATCGGGTTCATCATACCAACACCCCTACCATCTCAATCAATTTCAAGAATCATCATCGATTATCAACCCTGCAACTTAACACTACCCTTAATCCTCTTGATAAACCATCTCCCAAGTCACCTTAATCACCCACAATCGAACACTTTCATTCACCCCTTTCCTGAACCACCAAACACCACCCTTAAATCGGATCCTTGAGAGCTGCGACTGAAAATACACACACACACACACCTATTAATCGAGCCATTAGGGTTTACTGGGTTTAAAGTGGTTGAATCTTGACATATTTGAAATCAATTTTGTCTCCTGGTATGTCTTCAACTTCTCAATCGATTTCAAAAAGTGTGTGTGTGAATCCTTCCTAAAACGACGATGAGCTAAGAATTCTTCCAAATATGCAGATTGTTGTTTTGAGAGGGAGGAAGAGATGAAAGAAGGGCAGAGAGGGGTGGATGAGATGAGAAGTGGAGATTAGGGGTGAACTCAAACAAATGTGCGAGAGAAGAAGACGAGGTGTGGGATGAAGCAAGGAGCGATGAAGGTGAATGGTCCGACTGGGGAAGAAAGGGGGTGGGGATCATGTGTATGTGTTTGTGTAGAGAGAGAGAGAGAGAGAGAGAGAGAGAGAGATGTGGGTCCAATTTAATTATTTATTTTCTTTTTCATTTAAATTAAATATAAAAAAATATAAAAAAAAATATCAGAAGGGCATTACAGTCATTTCAGTTTACCAAGGGACCAAAAATGCAACGAAACTACCTCAAAAGGACCACCAATCCAAAAAATCGTAGTTTGGACTAAAACCCCAAAAAAATGCATACCACAGTGACCATTTTTGCAATTTTGTCTATTATAAATAAACTAGTAATATTATAAATAATATATCATATAATATAATTAATTTTATTATGACACGGTTCGGTTTTTGACAGCCAGTTTCTAAGGTAAAACCTCATTGAACCGATTGGTTTTTGCTAGATTAAAAGACACTATCCTTTTTTTGTATAGACTTCAGTTTTTCGGTTTCGATTTGTTGTGATTTTTTCAATTCCTTTTTGGATAAGATTGGTTTTTTCGATCAACGAGTGTTTCCCCTATTTTTACATAATTTTTAAGAATTTGGTATTAAAATAATAGTCACGTAACACTAGCAAAGAATTTCAAAGTAAGAAGTAAGAATACAGATGCTTACACAAAAGTAGATGTCAAATCTCATCTCATAGGTGAAAATTTACACATGTACAATAGGCAAATTGTATATGTACTCTATAGTGAATTTCTTTTTTTTTTATACAGCTCGTAATCCGACAGTCTGTCATCAGCAAAAACAATATTCCTAAAGAAAAAAATAAATAAATCATGATCCACCGTAGATGTGGGTTAGTAAAACTGTAAAAACAATATTCCTAAAGGAAAAAAAAATGATCCACCATAGATGTGGGTTAGTAAACTAGAGATGATAACACAAATACAAGATACATAGCAAACATATAAGAGAAATAAGATAACATGTTACCACTGTTAATTTCAATTCCCATAACGAAATTTATCCCTCTATATTACAGAAAGATGTAGCAATTGAATCGGTAACATATGCTTCAACAAAAGCCTTTCATTGAGCACCGAATACTTTAAATATTTGATTAATGTTTTGTTAGGCGCAATATATAATTTAAATATGTAAGTAGTTACCATTATAATATGCATTTGAAAGCATAACATTAAAAAAAATTAACTTAAAACAATATATTTTTGGTTAGCAATTTAATTTTAATAATAAAATATTTATCTTCTATAAATACCCAAATAATTTAACTACTCAAATTTAAAAGAGTACGAAAAAAAAAGTACATTAACATATTAGGGTCCGGTCCAACCGTCCAACCAGGAAAAAATATAACCGGCCTTTGGATTTGGCCTGATCGGAGTTTTGTCAAGCTAAACGGACTTTTTAAACCGGATTCGAACGAGGGACCATTAATGTAAAGTAAACTCCCTGCATCTTAAGCTAATTTTCCTCTTGGTTTTTTCATTTGCCGATTCAGGATTCATCAACCACAGCAAAGATTTTTTTTAGCAATATCATCATTTTGATCTTCCTGAAGATCAGGTGCAACTCTTCTTGACATTTTGTTAGTGTGTGAGAGAGAAAGAAAGAGAACAGTGTGTGAGAGAGACAGCGATGGCTCCGAACAGGTCTGGATCTTGCAATCCGGCGATGATGAGAATCGGAATCGTGTTCTTGGGACTATCTTTGGTAGGTTATTTAGTAGGTCCACCTCTATACTGGCATATTCTCGAAGGTTTAGCCGCCGTCCGCCGCTCTTCCTCCGCCGCTTCTTGCCCTCCTTGCAACTGCGATTGCGATTCCCGACCTACCCTCTCCTTTCCTCAAGGTACGTAAACCCTAAATTCTTTCACTTCTACACTATTCCACCATCCGCCCATCACTAATTAACTTTAATTCGTTCAAAATTATGAATCTTGATTTGATCTGTCACCCAATTTCCACTAATCAGATCTCATTTCTCATTAACCTCCATTTTTATCAAACAAATCTTGGTTAACTCGATAACAAGTACTAGAAATAGAAGATGTTATTGTTGATGAATGATGACAGATTCTTGATCAATTTCTCAATTGATTTATATTTTCTTTTTTCTCACAGGACTTGGCAACAGTTCCTTCACAGGTTAGTAATAGTATATTAGTATTACACAAACAAATAGCAACATACTTTCATAAGTACATTGCTATTTATATTCAATTTTTGATGGAATATTTGACTGAATCAGATTGTTCAAAGCATGATCCGGAAGTGGATGGGGACACTGAAAAGAACTTTGCAGAGCTTCTATCAGAAGAACTAAAACTAAGAGAAGCAGAAGCATTAGAAAGTCAACAGCGTGCTGACATGGCATTACTCGAGGCCAAAAAGCTGACATCACAATATCAAAAGGAAGCAGACAAGTGTAACTCTGGAATGGAAACATGTGAAGAAGCCCGTGAAAAAGCCGAAGCAGCTTTAGCCTTACAAAAACAAGAAACCGGAAAGTGGGAGTTGCGGGCCCGCCAACGAGGATGGAAAGAAGTCGGTGTTAGGGGCACTGAGGTCTTTTGATTTTTGCTTTGTGTCATTGTTTTTTGTTAGCTCGAAACATTTATACACGAAATTCATGAAAAATTCATGAATATTGTGTTTGATTATTAGTATTATTATAAATTGTTGATTGTAATAGTAGAAAAAAAAATGTACCTTATGGGATGTTGGGGTGAGAGGGGAGATGGATGCTGACGTCATCCATGTCGGGGGAGCTGTTGAGGGTTAATCCATGCTCATTGGCTAAATGTAATATGCAGATGAAAGACAGGTGTGGGGTGATGTCATCATTTGATGTGGTAGCTGGGGAAGATGACAAAATGTTTTTAAAAGACAGATCTTCATCCTGCAATCACAATTATCAGTATTAATAATAGAGTTTCCATTGCTATCATTTATGGAAAATTTTGGCATCTAAAGAAAAAGAAAATTTACTCCGGCTGATTTCTGCATTTCTTGAATGGTTGACCAAAGAGTATCTTTTAGTACATGAACATCAACTTGTTTGGATTTTTTGTCATATTGGATGTCGATTTTTTCTACCTGTGGTAATTTTATGAATAGCAAGAAATTAGGAAACGTATATATATTTGTTTCAAGTCAAAACTAGTTATCAAATTGGAGTTTTAATAAACAAACCTGACGTGGTTGAGAGACAAGAGAGTCATCAACATCACTATAAGCATTTCCATCATCAAATTGGTCACCAATTCCACAACCATCATCATCACCCCATGATGGATTAGCTTCTTGTTGATGAACTTCATCTGATAATAAAATGTTATCACAATAATATCACATTCTGCAAATAAACAATAAGGATGGTTTGTATAAAAAGAAATCAATCGACCTGAATTTCTCTTTCCTCTCTTCTTCCCAAAGCACTACAAATAAACAAAAGAAAAATTAATCATATATGGGTTTGAATGTTTGATTAACAGGTGATTGTTATAGAATATATTTAAACAGAGGTGAAATTACCAAAACATTTGGTAGAAGAAATAGTTTCACTAGATTCTCAGGTTGATAATGGCAATCTTCCGGAAGCATTGTGTTACAAGGTTCTCTATTTGAGGGCAACAGCAATGAGTTCGGATTTTTAGGAGGAATGAAGGGGTCAACAATGTCATTTTCCAAAGCTTTCATAAAATCTATATCTGCTTCAAATTGTTTCTTGTTTCTTGGTTTTTTGGACAACAATGGTGATCCATTTTCCTTGGTTGAAGCTTCTGGACCCATAAAACATTAAATGACAAACAAAATGTCAACTTTTGATGACCAGGACAAGGAGGGTATTTACGTCTTTTGCACAGACAAGGGATTGGGAACAAGTGTGTGTCAATTGTCCGTTCTCATGATGTCACAGTGTCAGTCCAATGCATGTCAAACACAGTACAGACTGTTATACCTTTAGCCTTATTATATTTCCAATGTTCAGGGCCCGCCCAGGCATTTTGACTTGTGGTCAAACCCCGTCTTGGAAACAAAAAGTCATCAATTTTTATAAATTTGTCATCTACATCACGATCATGAGATTCATATTGCTCATTTTCCTACAAACAAAAAACAAGATAAAAAGAAAAATGAAAAGCATGATGCTATAATTCAGTAGATTTTTCAAATCAAGATTCAAGCACCTCGTGGGGTTCTACTTCTTCCTCCCTTTCATAAGTGCCCTCGTTGTCATTAACAAAATCCCATGTGCCAAAGTTATCATTTTGATCACCATCAAGGGCATAATCGTCATAATCAGGTTCATGAGAATTTTGGGCAAAAACAGTGCCTGGTGGTCTTTTATCATCAAACATGTTGACTATCTCCTTGAGAGTTGGTGAGATTTCTTTGTTTTTGGAGATGTTAATTGCCATTTGTTCCATGCAGTCTACAGATGAATGAAATTACAAGATCCTTGTAATTTTGTAAAATGACCATTTTGCCCTCCATATAAAAGATTAAAAACATACCTTTTGCATACGAGATATCAATTGTCTCGATTTTATCAGTTTGGGGTGAACAAGACATGCAGTTTGCAGGTACTTCAAGTGAATCAAAAAGGACAAGACACCCACCATAGACTCCAAGATTGTTGAGTAAAAGACCTTTTGCCCCTCCTTCATCAAACTGAGCAGACGTTTGATGATAAAGAGGATCCACAGTAAAAGCAACTAGAGGATAAAAATAATTTCATAAGACCCTTTTATGGAAAAAAAAGTTTTAAAAAGGTATAAGTAATAAGTTGTGCCCTTACCATCAAATTTCTTCAGATTAAGATTCTCAAATGATGATTCCAGTGTTGAAAGAGGAGAAAACTGTAGATTTATAATGCATTAGGTTTAAGGTAGGTATTCAAACAAGATTGAAGATGAGATGATGAAAGACCTTTTGTTCATGCTCCTTTTTAGTGCTTTGTTTCGTTTGCTCAGTGTTAGTGTTTCCATCCTCTAAATTGCCTGATAAACATGTATCACACAAAATGAACCCTTGAATATTCCTACAATATAAGGTTCTTTGACTTTTCCATTGTATATTTGAACCGATGAAATAGGAAAAACATATATAAGTTATAATGGATGACAAGTTACTAAAGACTATTTTTTCTTGGAAAGATAAGTACACTGTGATATAACTAACCTTGTTCCAAGTCTTGTCCAACTCGATTAATGGCTCCAAGGAATTTATATGCCTCAGCATGGACAGAATCCACCCTTGTTGAATATATTTTAACTCCTGCTTCAAGAGTGCAACTTGCCTGCACTTGAAAAGATGCATTATGATTTGTGATCCAAATTATAAGAAATTGTTTCTACTCTAACTATCCAACTCCATTTGCTTCTTATCTTAGGTTAAATTGTGGAATAGAATCAATAGATAAGATAAAATCTTAAGAATGCTGGAAAATCAAGCAAGAAAACGAATATTTTATCATATTCTTCAAATGGTGAGGTTAACCTTCGAGTGTTAAAAAAAGTGAGTACATGTCTTGTCTGGTTTGGACAAAACTTGTGTGGATTCCAAACCGGATTTGTAATGATAAAAAATTAAAGGTTGCTTGTTCATGTTGTGTCAAAAGTGCTCTACACTTGAACAAAATTTAAAGATTTCACATTGAGAACTGATTCCTGCTTAAATGAACAACACTTAAAGGTTAGTCATTCTTGTTGCTTCCTAGTGATTAATAATCACTTAAAAGATATACACAACAAACACCACAAGAAAGAGTGATGTGGTCAAAGTTTCTTTCATTAATTCTCTTAATTATTTTGTAATAGACTTCCATCATAATTAAGTATGTACTAGCAAGCGATATACACCCAAAGTGGTCAAACAATGCATTAGATTTGTTTTTAAGTGGATTGCTGAATGATGTAGTCCTAACAGGTCTAAACTAAATAAAAGCAGAACCTTTTAAGGAAAGAAGAAAAGTGGAATTCAAAAGGAATTAAAGCTACTATCAATAAGTACAAACAACTTTGATAAAGAATTTAACATAAATCAAATTTATCTTCAGTACCTTCTGAAAATTGGTCTCGGCATCATCCTCTTCAACTTTTATAATGTCACGTAGATGATCGATCAAATTCAGCTCCCAAGTATTCTTCTGATTAATTTTCTGCATCACAAAAAGGTTAAATCATTAATCATCACAAAAATGATAACACAATCTGTTAAAACACACTAGCGCTAAAAGTAGTAGAGACATTTTCACTAGCTAATTTGATGCAATTCTGGAACAATTCCATGATCTGCTCTTGACCTAGAAAAGCACCGGCAGGATTATCATCAGCGGCGTTATTGAACGTTACCGGCTTCCGGCGGATGGAAGCAGCACGGGCGGCGCGTGCCTGAGCACGTTCAAGTTGATCATTGTTGGAGCCAAGAACGAAGGTGGTGAGCGGAGATAGGATCGTCGCTCTCTGTTCTTCACATGTGTAGCATTAGGGCTTACCAATTCAGCCATTCTAGTTCAAGTCACAAATTTGCACTAAGCTTCAATCCTTTTTTTAGGTTTCGGATTCTCAATATTGTTCAGATTTCATGATGAAGTTGCAAAAAGAGTGAAAGTTCCGAGGAGCGTGTTCAACAACTGAGATAAAAGTGAACAACTTTCCCTCCTTTGTTTTGAAGTTGCAACTTGCAAGAGGAAGTTTATGGTGTATGTGATGTACATGGAACTTCAGTGAACTTGCGGTTTGTAGCCGTTCAGATTGGATTTACCGTTGATCGAGACGGTTTTTGCTTTATGAAAAAATTACAGCCATTGATAAGCTTTTCCTAGATCAAGGAATAACCTAATGCCTCTTTGACTTCTTGTCTTCTATTTTGTTTTTACTTTAGTTCCAATTTTTCATTTATATACTATATCATAATCCAAATTTCAGATTTAATTTAAAAAATATTAAAGAGGATATTGTATGGAAGAAAAGTTGTTTTAGTCTGTTATTATTTTGTTTGATTCAGTTATTGCAAAACATTTGTTCTAATCAAAACAGAGACTCATTACTAAATAAAAAATTGGAATATTTTATTCAATTATAAAATTATAACATGAATCTTTAGAATATTTATTTCAAAATGTGTATCTAAATTTAGAAATTAGTTGATGGCACATGACTTATGTATGCACAATTGTTTCAAATTTTATCCTATCAAACAGATATTTAAAGTTGTTTGTTTGCATTTTTTTTAAGTTTCTCTAGTTCTATCGTTGTATGGTTGTTGTAAAAGTAGAGATATTCATCCTTGAGTATTGTTTAAGGACTTATGTATCCGTGATCATATATTTCCAGGGCAAAAAAAGTTATTTTCTATTAATTTTCTCACTTTTAATATCCAATAATAATATAAAAATAATAATAAAATAAAAGCTAACTTTAAATATTTCTAAAAGAATATTATTCATAATAATTATTATTTGTAATATTCTATAAAAATATTGTTAGGATTTAAAATTATCGCCTACTGTAATTTTACAATAGAATATTAAACATATTATATTTTTATAAAATATGTTAATTTTTTGGATGTTAAAAATAATGAAATTTAATGCTTTTTTTTTCAATTTTTGAAATTTTTGGCCATAACTAAACAAGTCTCACAAAATTAGTTTCTATCTTAAATGAATATTTACATAATGTATAATCAATTAAGAGACTTTCTTAGATATAATAGAGATAGACTTTTGTAACCAAATCATTTATTTAATATTAGTGTTTCTTTTTATCGTATATTTAGGTCGGCGGTGTATCCCTTTCACTCCCCCCTATTTTATCCGGTAAAATCAACGTCAGACATTTCTTTCTATTCTTCCATCACTTTTAGCAAATGGTCACCCACACTTCTTATATATTTTTTTAATAAATATAAAGCATGTTGTTGCACTGTGTTTTTAATAAATATATTTTTTTAATAAATATATTTTTTAGTAAATAGTCACCCACACTTTATTGTACAAGTGTCGAACCGGGAAAAAAAAACAAAAAATAGATATGTTGTTGTACTATGTTTTTGCTTCCTGCGGTGGAAGTACCGCAATCACCACATCAGATAGTGTGGTGTTCCCCCACCTCCGTGTAGTGCCACGTCACCCCACGGCATGGTGCAGTAAGGATATACCATCTAGCCTTATAACATAGGCCTTAAATATTTATTCAAAATTATGTTTCCTAAAATGATAATCGACAGAAAAGATGTATTTTGCAATAATGCTTAATTAAATAAATACTAAAATTTAATCTTCTAAAGAATATAGGTAAAATAAACATTTACTAATATCCACTAATGTAATATCATGTAATACATACACATAATGTAATTCCCTTGCTTTCATACAACACTCATCAAAACTAATCTACATCATAAAAACAATAAATACATACATAATTTAATTTGTTCAAACATTACATTACACTTGCACATCCCAAAAGAATCATAAAAAATATATATATATATATATATCAAGAAACAAAGAGGGAAAAGTAATCACAAATTTTTGTCACTATCTTCCGGACATTAAGTTCACAAGAGTCTGATTTTCATAAAAGGAACCAACATCCCAATCCTCCGTGGAGGACGAAAGCGTCATTAATGCAACCACAATCGATCTCATACTTGGCCGTAATTGCGGATTCTCATGCGTACAAGCTTTCGCAAGCTGCGCCATCTGCATTCCAATTCACAAAAAAAAAAAAGAAAAAAAAAAAAAATTGTTACACAGGACAAGACATGACAGAACATGGTAACCTTATACTGACATGCATTGGACTGTGACTAATGCCACTTGGGACTGTCCCACCCAAAAAGGTGGGACATAGACTCATTTTTGATCTCTCGTCTTGCCAAAAGACGTAAATACCCTCATCATCAAAAAACGAAAGATTTACCTTACGGACTGAATCTAGAGGGTAGTTATCCCTGAGCCTAGGATCAATCATCTTGACCAAGTCATCTTTTGGATCGGGTCGACTCAAAACTTCATCAAACTGTAAATCATCAAATATCAAACTCATTATTTGTTATATATACACGAGTGTTTCTTTTTTACTTAATGCAGAAAGAACAACTTGATAGAGAAGAAATTAAACTCACCAAGGCAACTAGCCCTTTTGAGTCAGCATTAGAGCCATTTGCTTTAACTATGGCTTCCTTGGCTGAAATAAGTTCATAAAGTACAACCCCAAATGCATACACATCTACTTTTGGAGAAACATCGCCATATTGCGCATACCTGCCACCCAATAATTTGAGAACTTGTGTGCTGTGTACTGTGTCTCTGTACTGTGTACTGTCATACTGTGTACTGTCATACTGTGTACTGTCATACTGTGTACTGTGTATTGTGTACTGTGTACTGTGAATGGAACAAAAATTGCAAGTTTTTGTCCCATCCAAAAAGGTGGGACATGTACTCACTCTTAACCTCTCGTAAGTGCAAAAGACATAAATACCCTCATCATCTAAAAGGGCCCTAGAAAACTTGTCTAGTCATGTGGAAGAAAAAAAAAATCTTGACGTAGGATTCTGTGAACCCACATACAACTATGCATAAGGCCTCTTGGTAAAATGACATAATTAACCCTTACTCTGGTGGCATATATCCGAAGGTACCCACAAGACGTGTGGGCAAAGAATTACTTCCAACTTCAGTCAGCTTTGTTAAACCAAAATCTGCAACCTAAAAGTAAACACATAGTGCCAATAAATCATTGCCATCTTCAACTTTATCACTAAAAGAATAAAAAAAAAAAAATATATGACAATATAAAGTATAAACATTCACACACCTTTCCATGATAATTTTTGTCAATCAATATATTTGCTGATTTAATATCACGATGTATATAAACGGGGACAGTATGCTCGTGGATATACTCAAGACCTCTTGCTGAGTCAAGGGCGATTTGGACCCGAGTTGACCAGGATAGTGGGTCCCTTGCTGAAAATGAACATTATAAAGAACATAAATTTCTCTTGTTTGGATGTATTCGTTATAGAAATTAGTTGTTATGTTTGAACTTAATTTCACCTGTTCCATGTAAATGTTGACTCAAGTTTCCATTTTCAATGAACTCATAGACCAAAAAAAGGGAGCCCTCCACACAATATCCTATTAAACGCACCTGCAAAATATAAAGTCAAATGTTAAAAAAAAATATGGTCAACTCAAAATCTTGATAAATATATTTATTAATTAAAATACTGCATACCAGGTTTAGATGATGAACATGTGTTAAGACCTTTAATTCGGCTAAAAATTCTCTTGATGCTTGCATATCCATCTTCTTGATAGCAGCTTTCTGAAAAAGTTTGCAATAAGAAACAGCCACTTAATACACGTGTTGAATATCAACATCATCAGAATTCATGTAAGATTAAAATCGGGCTAAATGCAAGAATTAACAGATGAAATCACATAATTATATCTAAAACTATAATTCCAAACCTCGCCTCTGAGTTCTGCATAATAAACAGCACCAAAACCACCTTGACCAATCTTATTAGCAAGACTGAATTCATCTGTAGCCTTTGAAAGCTCTTCATATGAAAACTCCACTGATTTGTCAACTGTTATCCCTGTAAGCCCAGGTGAGGCACTAACAGGATGACCACTGGAATTTGAACCTCCAATTGAAGTGCCACCTGGCCCTAAGTTTGAAAAAGAACACAAATCAACAAATCAATACACATTTTATCAATAGAAATGGAGATGAATTTTGTAATAAATACCTCGAGGAGACTGCATAAGTTGAACCTGTGCGTTCTTTAACAAAGCTGAATTCTTTTCTGAATTTTTGTTTCTGTAAAATCCATAATATAAGCATCCTGCAAGTAATAGCACCCCAGCTACTACTGCTATAGCTATTCCAGCTATGGCTCCCCCTGATAATCCTGTTTATGTGAATGCAGATTGTAGCTTCACAACTCCATAACTCACATTTATAATCAAAAAAATATTAAAAAGGGCCACAGAAAGTTGGGTCACCTGAGCTGCAAAAGATAACAAGAACGAAGAAGACGACTTGTTAAATGTATAAAAGCAGTCATCAATTTCAGCAAATAAGATGTTATGGAAGAACAAGAAGGTACCTGGTTCTTATGGGTGGATAATTTCCATTTTCATCTGCCAAAAATCAAACATTAGAACACATCAATTTCACGAAGATGCTAACAAGTAGTGGATAATTTTCATAGAATCTACTCCAATTGATCATCATCAAGTAACACAATCACATATTTTCAAGCCAAAAACAGGTGCCTAAGAATCCGTTGAACAGTTCCAAATACTAACCTCGGCCCGGAATGTATATCAACGAATTGACAGCGCTAAAATTTGCATCGGGATTATAGCTTCGAATTATGTCGGAACTAAGATTCGCAGCAGAAGAAACCGAATCCAAAGTCTCATCTGACCGGAGAGGATACGTCACGAACAAACCATAATCCTTCGAAATCGAACTATCTCCACACGAACAATTCACCGTCACGTTAATGGTGACGTTAACATCAGGGATACGGTTTGGATCATAACTATTAAACCTCTGAATCCATGCCGGAGTCGTCAAATTCGCGTACCTTTCACTCGCAATCAGTGTATACGTATCCTGAGACCTAATATTGTAGTTGAACACATGGCCTAAGAACTCCCCGTTGATACAGTCGCAAGAAAACGGCACGTTAATCCTAATAAACGATTGAACACTATCTTGATTAGGGATAGTACCACGATTATACTGCAGAATACTGTTGATATCGGTGTTCATGTATTGGGAAATTGGAATGAGTTCATTTCCAGGTAAGACGTAGTACGAACCAAGCGCCAAATTACAACCTCTGCTGCATCTGGATTGAACTAATGAACAGAAATAAATTGAGCTCAAGAACAAAACTGCTAATAATCGGAACCCCATATTGAGCTCCAACATGATTTCTTAGGGTTCATGTAAAATTGAAGCCAGCGTTGACCGATTCTGTTTGGTTCCGTTGAAATTATATTGAGCAAACGAATGATTTGATGAGAAAAATAATTGGATTGAAGAATCACCAGGAGAATATATGCATATTTTGATTGACTGATTAAACAAATGGCTGTCGGGTTTTAATTGTAGGCGTGTTAGACTAGTCGACAGCTGAATGTTGCCGCCATTGAAAGTCTTTGCTCTGGTTTTTTTTTTTCACTTCTTTGTAGTTTATGTTGTTTAATTATGAAGATGGATTCTTTTCTAATGATTTTTTTAATCATTTTACTTGTGGTGAATATTGAAAAAGTGAAATACAATGATTGTTGTTGAATTATTTTATTAAAAACATTTCTGGTTTCTGATTTAAACAAATTATATATAAACTTGTATTTAAATAATTAATATATTGAAATTACATAAATCATCCAATGGTTTACCAAAAATTACCGATTAAGTCATCTTCCTAAAGTTTAACCTTCTTTGTCTTAAAAAAGAACTAATTTTTTACATATATATATATATATATGTTTACTTTTAGCTTCATTTCTTTTGTGTTAATGGTCCATTTATGTATTGTGTAATGGTTTATTGTTTAACCTAATTTAGTCCACAAACCTTTGTATAGCTAGCCCATGTACACTTTGTATATATTATTGTGTCGTATTTGCTTATCAAATCAATGAAATGGAATATATATTATTGTGTTATGTTCTTATGAAATCGATGAAATAGATATTCATTTTCATTGATTTTATAAGAACATACAACACAATAATATATAAAAAGTGTACATGGACCGGTTATAGAAAGACATGTGGACTAAGCTAGGTTAAACAATAAACAAATATACAATGCATAAATGGTCCGCTAACAACATATGCATTAACAAACACAATAAACAACAAATGGAATTAGACATCTAACGAGTTTTTGTTGAATCTGATAAATAGGAAGTTTTTTTCATGCACAATCAGAACAAGTATGAAAACACATACCCGCTTGGTCCCTATGGTTTAAAAAACTTACCCAGATGATTTTGGCCAAAGTCTTATGCTTAAAGTCGTTAGTCGCCCTAAGTGGTCTCCCTAGCATGTGTGGTTTGCCACGTCATTCTAGCTCATCCAACTAATCGACAAATGCTCAAGTATTGCCCACCAGGTCTTATGGTTTCTTAAAACTGTCCTCTTGGTACTATTTACACCATTTTAGGTTTTTTTGAAGTTTTTTTTTGGCTTATAAGTCGTCTTTTCTTTTTTTTTCTTTTTTTTTTGCTTATAAGTATTTACAAATATATTAAGTTTTTTTAAAGCTCAAAAATATTTGATGCAAACATTTACAACCAAAGTACATTATCATTAAATGCAATTTGGATCTTAAAAAAAATACAAAAAAAAAAAAAAAACCTATTGCATGCAAGCTATAAAAACATTAAAAAAAACAATCATTGTCAAATTAAAACTAACAAAAAGGACATTACAATAATATTCAAATAACATTCAAATAACAAGTACCTTCAAATCCATAGCAATCAAACCAAAACAAGTTTAATAAGTCCATAACAATCAAGACAAACCATTATCAAACACACAAAAATAACACTTTACAACTAAAAACAAATATAACTTTTAATGTTTTTATAGTCATCAACATAGGACTGTTGATCCTTTTTTTTGTTTCTCAAGCCTTGACAAGCAGAACCAACGACTGTTTTTACCATATTGTCACTTTCGTTTTCTTTGCGGAAATAACACAACGCTCTTGTCCTTTATGCACTTGGACGAATCCCATGGAAATCATGCATCAATTTGGCCCTTGATTCTTCATACACAGTAAGACATAATTTGCCACACACGAAGAACTAACATTCTATCTTGCCACTTTTCAATCTTGCCTCCAAAATGCAATGCAAGTTGTGTGTTGTACCCCTCTCAAGTAATGTTCGGGTTGTTGTTATTGAAAGTCCATCTAAAATACCAATAACATTTATATCAGTTCTAAAAATAAATAAAAGTGGTATTAAATAACATATCATATATATATATATATATATATATATAGAGAGAGAGAGAGAGAGAGAGGAGGGCTCAATTGAGAAAAAAAAGGTTGAAAATGGGGGAACCATTCTCAACCAATCATTTAATAAGCTTAAAAAAACGCGCGGTGACAAACTTGTAAATAATCCAAATACATTATTGAGCGGTGGCAAATTTGTAAATAACCCAAAAACATTAAACCGTTAGGGCACTTGAGTAATTTCATCACACATCAAATTTCGACAGAAAACCATCATTTCCCTCTTCGATACCCCATAACACAAAAACCATTTGCAGAAACTAGGGATGAGCTTTGGAACCGGACCGGTTCGGAACCGGAACCGGTTTTCCTATATTATAAGAACTGGGAACCGGACCGCCGGTTCTAGCGCCGGTTCCGGTTCCGGTCCCGGTTTTCGGTTATTTTTCAAAATAGAACCGGTTGAAATACTATAGATATATATGCTATCTTCTAGAGCTTGTAAATGATTCAATATTTAACCAAATTATGACTTTTTACATTCTAAATTGAAGTACAAACACTAAATTACATGATGAAAAAAGAATCAAGTAATTCCGACTTCATATGAGTGAGTTATGCGCATTTTAAAAGCGGGGACGGATTCCAAAAAAATAAAAAATGCCGAAACAGAAAAAACACAGCATTGATATGTTGTCTTCCGGGGTCTATAACTGATTCAATATCTAACCAAAATATGTGTTTTTATAGTCTAAAATGAACTACAAACACCAAATGACATGCTGGAAAAAAAATTAAGTAATTCCGACGTCATATGAATGAGTTATACACATTTAAAAAATAGGACATATTAAAAAAAACAAAAAAATAATGCTGAAATAAAAAAAAAGCAACATCGATATGCTTTCTTTCGGGGCATGTGTCTGATTCCATATCTAACAAAAACATATGTTTGTACCGTCAAAAATGAATTACAAACTCCAAATTACATGTTGGAAAAAAACTCAAATAATTTCGACTTCATATGAGCGAGTTATACGCATTTTAAAAAATGAAAAAAATACGCATTTTTATGAACGAAGAAAAATGTCTTTCGATGAAAACATGAACGAAACCCTTTCCTCACTCTTGACTATGAAAGGTAACCATCGGCGTTTTTTTCTTCAATTTTTAACGATTTCTAATCATTTCTAAAATTATCACTTGATTACTTGAAATTTTCCGTAATCTTCATTCATTATTACTTGATTTAGAACTAAAAATTTTGTTTTCACACTGTTCATTCTTCAAACTAGTTTGTTTACTTCAAATTTTGTGATAATCGTTCATTCTCGTAACCCTCCTTCGTTATTACTTGATTTACTTGAAATTTTTGTAAGAGTCATCCATTATTAGTTGATATATAAATGATTTTACATCTTCTCTTCATTTTTCATACTTATTCACAACTTTTCTGTCAAAATATAAATGTTACTTCACATTTCGCTTATGTTTTCCTACTATTAACTACTTACCATTACAGAAACAACACCAACAGCGAAGCATACATATAAACAAAAAAACAAAAACAAATCAAAAAGGTAAATAAAATAGTTATTCCATTTACATCTCATTAACTTAGATATGTTTTGTTTACTTCTGAACACAAGCAAAACTAATATTCAAATATGAATACAACAAAAATGACTTATATATTTTCTATTCACATATGAATAAAACATTCAAATTCATATGTGAATAAAAAATATGAATATATATATATATATATATATATATATATATATGTGTGTGTTTTATTCAAATATTCATTTGTGAATATGTATGTTATATTCATATATGAATAGAACATAATTTGATGTCATCTATACAATATTCAAATATGAATACAACAAACTTATATATGTTCTATTCACATATGAATATAACATACATATTCATATGTGAATAAAAAACATGAATATATATGTTTTATTCAAATATTCATTTGTGAATATGTATGTTATATTCACATATGAATAGAACATAATTTGATGTCATATATACATTATTCAAATATGAATAAAACAAAAATGACTTATATATGTTCTATTCACATATGAATATAACATACATATTCATATGTGAATAAAAAACATGAATATATATGTTTTATTCAAATATTCATTTGTGAATATCAAACTCATTTATCTTCTACTTGCTATTGAATGAAGGTAAGAAGACTAACATTTTCGATAAAGATTCACCAACAATGAGAGAAACACGATCAATGCAGAAAAATCAAAAAGGTATAAAATACATATCATATCTTTTATATCTCTGTTATAATTTATAAATAACTTATATATCCCACCTATAATTTTCTTCTATTAACATATGAATAATTCAATCTGTATATGTTTTATATTAAAAAAAACTATTGAATTATTGTATTCATATATGAATAAATATATGGCTTAGCTTTGTTTGTATTCAAAAGCTAATCATATGTGAATGGAAACAAGTATTCATACCTTTATGTTGTTTTGTTTTGGAACAACATAAATATGTATACATCTGTTATATTCATTTATGAATAACTTATATATCTCAGCTATAATTTTCTTCTATTAACATATGAATAATTCAATCACAATCTAGATATGTTTTATAGTAAAAAACTATTGAATTCTTATATTCATATGATAATAAATGTATATGGCTTAGCTTTGTTTGTATTCAAAAGCTAATCTTTATTGAAACAATTATTCATACATTTATGTTCATATGTGAATATATAAATATATAACTGTTATCTTCATTTATTCATTTATGAATATAAAATATTTTCTTTGTAAAATGTATTCCAAAATTATTTATATTCTACTCGCTAATTCATGAAGGTAAGAAGATTTGTATTTCTGATAAAGACACCACAACAATGATAGAAACATATTTGAAGAGGAAAAATGCAAAAGGTACAAAATTCCTATCATATCTAATATATTCATATATGAATAAAATTGTATATACTAGTTATATTTTTGTAATAAATAAATATTAATAAATCAACGAGCATATATCATATTCATATATCAATAACTTATTCAAATATTATATGTTTTCATTTACCAGATAAAAAAGAAACAAAAACACCAAAGAAAAGAAAGCATCAAAGCAGAAAAATTCCATCAAAAAGGAAAACTCCTGAAAAACGACAACTACATGATTC